CTCGCGTGGCGCCAGGATCTCGCGGAGCGGACCCCTCTGGGGGAAACGGGACGACCGCCGGGACGCCTCTCCAGCGGCGCTTTCTCTGCTGCCGGAAACTCTGGCAAGCAGGGGGCGGCTTTCTTAGACAGGGGCCTTGTGGAAGGAGAGCCCCACCGCTGCCAAAATCCGAAGGCGTCTGGGCGTCCCCTTTGCGACTGGTGTATTTTAGGCCTCTCAGTAGCATTTGCAGTCGGAAAAGATGCCCCCGGGCGCCTTCGGATTTTGTTACAAGGGGGGGAAGGGGGCGATGCAGCGCTTGCCTGTTCATCCAAGCGGAAGGAGACAACCTTTTTTCTAAATGACCGTTGGGGCTCTGAGGGTCTCAACCGCACAGCAGCCGGTGGCCCGTTATTCTGGCCTGGAATGGGGGCCCCAGTGGACTCAGGGTGGCTGTTTGCGAGCAGCCCTTCCGAAGCTCCCCAGCTGCCCTGGATGCAGGGCTTGGCTGCCAGTTCGCTAACGTGGGAAGGGGAAAGGGAGGGAATGACCCCTTTTCCACAGCTGAATTATGCAACTCTGCAAAAGATGGGGCTTTTTTCTGAAAAGTGCTGCAGTTGGTCTGGGCTCCTTCTTGCCGCTTGTTCACGTGGCTTTGATGTTTGCTAGCTTGTTACGCTTGGCACACCATTTACAGGCGATCACCTTTTATTGTACGTGATCACTTTTGGTAGCTTTCTTCAAGTATGTGAGGAGATGGGATATAAATAATGTCCAGAATAAGCAACAGCTTAATGGTGCTTGTGTAGATGTCTTGTGTGTGTGTGCGTGAGCAGAAAGGTCCCCCCCCTCCCATGCTGTTAATCAACCTTTTGATTAACCACTTGACTGTGGAGATGGAAAGATGTTTATCTGCAAGTGATCCAAATCCTGGAAGAATAAGATCTGAAAGGATCTTGACTGGTTGGGCCAAAATCAACAAGATGAAGTTGCAACCATCACACTTGGTTTTATGGACCAAAACCTGGAGGGGTAAGAAGGGCGGCCCAGGCGTAAACCAGGGTCGGCACCTTCTGCTGAGCGTGAGCCAGGAGTAGTGCGTGGCTGCTGCAGCAGTCTTGGCTGCGGAGACTGCCTGGGCTCGCTCATCTCAGCTCTCCTGGAGCTGCAGGGCAGGGCAGCAGCTCCCCAGGGATCCTAGCCCAGGCGCCTCTGCTTGCAGGGCAGGTGCCGTGCCCGGGGTGGCGGTCTGGAAGTTGGTGCTCAGGTAGATTAAGAAGGGTAGGCGGAGGGCCCCGGTGCTGGGTGGCATTGGGTGGCTTTCCGGGTGGGGTGTGGAGGAGCTTCTGAAGCAAAGGCTGGAGGGCCCTTGGAGTGGCTTTTGCACTGCAGGTGAGCGAGCCACTGTCCCAACGCTCTGAAATGCCAGGGTGGAGGGATGTGTTGAAAGAAAGGAGCTGTGAGCTGATCTCCTACCTGAAAGTTGCTGGGATGCTTTTTAATGCTTTCTTTACACAGTAATTTTTTCCAGTGAATCCTTGAAGACAGGATGGGTTATGCACACACATTTATTTGCCCAAGGAGTAAGAGGTGGCTGATATATTCCTATATTCCTTTGTGTACACATCCGGGGGCGGGGGGGGGCGTGGTGTTGCCAGACTGTATGCTTTTACCTGTTACCTAATTTGGCAGAGTGCAAGGCCTAGACACAGTCACACCCAGCCTGGGGCATCTAGCCCTCGTGACTTGGCCTGCCCTATAGAAAGCAGTCCTGTATCCAAGACCAGCTGTCCTCTGCCTTCGCAGTCTGGCCTCAGAAGCTAGGCAGGTCAAGGTTGGTTGGTCTTGGATGAGAGCCATCCAAGGAATACCCAGGCTAGATTGGGAGGTCATCTGGACACCAGTTCTGAAAACCACCTGGTTATAGCCCTTGAGTCTCTAGGAACTGAGCTTGATTTGAAGGAAACAGCGTCTTTTGAGGATTTCCTGAGACCAAGGATAAACCACTTGGTCTGCACAGAGCTTGGCTTCAAGAACGGTTCCTGCCTTGCTAGCCCTCAGGTGAACCTGCTGCAGCTGGTCATCGTCCTTTTTAAACTGGGGTGCCCAGAACTAACTGGACGCCAGACTCCAATGGGATCTGACCATCAGAAGAGCCACGTGCCCTGCAGCTCAGCAAAAGGCTGCCAGGACTGCATCCAGCAGTACAACCATAAAAACAGGCAGGAGTAGCTGGAAGGTGTGCCCTCTTTTCACCAGCTGCTCTCTAGCAACTGGCTGACCTTGTCATCTCTGCCAGTGAACAGAAGGGAAACAAAAACTCCCATGGGGATTTTCAGCTTGTCTCTTTCTGAGTCAGTTTGCAGAGGAGGGAAGGCCACATCTGCCACCTGCTGCTGGGGCATGGAAGGGTAAGCCGCTCACAGCCACCTCTCAGCCTTTTAGGCGAGATAGTCCAGACAAGCACAACCAGGAGTACTAGTAAGGTGACATTAACAGAATCTTGAAAGGCTGAAAGTATTTCTCCCCTCCTTTCTTTTTTCTCTCCAGAAGGGGGGGGGGGGGGGAATCCCTTCTGAAACATTTCCCACACCATCTCCCCTTCGGTGGGCTGAGACATCTTCCACATGCTGGTTGTCCAGTCTGTGGTTCTCTCTCCCCTCCTGTCCCCCAGGGTCATTCCCACATAACATTACACAGCCAGATCTCTGACAGAGCCCCATTTCACAAGGGCCCCAGGAGGAGGGCAGCAGCTGGCTTTCTTCCCCCTTGGATTGAGCATCCCATGATCTGCTAAGCCCAAAGTCTGTGCTGTCATCTTTCTGCCTGTTTTAGATCCAGCACTAACTCCTCCTTTTAGTCTTCAACAACCTCGTGTGTGTGTGTGTGTGTGTGTGTGTGTGTTATAAGTGGGGTGGGTAGGAGAACATTCAGCTCTTTCCTAGCCTCTGTATTTACAAGGGTGATCTGAAAGAGATCTTTCCAGCCACCCTGGACATAAGGGAGTTCCTTTAAATTTTCAGTGTTCCATTTTGCCACCAACAATGAGCAGACAAAGGGATGCTTGCAGAGCTCACATTGCCCCTTTTCATGTTGGCAAAGATGAACATATCTTTCACTGAAGCTTGCTCTCTGTTGAAAGGTATGTTTGGTTCCCTCACCCTCAAGAAAATTGCAAAAATGCATCTTCTCCACCAAATGCTTAACTGTTAATTGCTGCTAATTGTATTGCATTTATTCTGCATTTTAGTGTTACGATTTAATTTTGTAAATTGCCACGACTGCTTGTGTATGGCACAGTATACATTTAATTAGGTTTAACTATTTTTAAGGAAACAATTTCATTAATGGTTGATTAATATATACACAAAACGTCCTCAAATTGCTATTGGCTATTGTCCTGCATTGTTTTTAAATATCACCAGCTCAGGACCACAAACCGCCTGCAACCCATGTTTGTTTTGGCCAAGGCAACTGTCAGTGCCTCGAGTGAGTCGGAGGACTGAAGGAAGGCATCAGCATCCAGAGTTTCAAGCAGGGATCTGCTAGTCTCCTTTCGAAAGCATTCTCTTTGCTTTTCAGGGCTCCGAGGACTTTATGGTTCGGTCCTTATCTGTACCTTCTGCATTTCACTCCCTGCTAGCACTGGGCAGGCTTCACAGAGGATTCAGAAGAAGTATTTTGAACCTTGCATAGCCACAGCACCTTGCTGCTAGCCCTAAATGCAGCCCTTCTTTTTTCAAGCATCTGCAAGAATTTTAAACAGTTGCAGCTGCTTTAAGAGTTGCAGGATGACTTCTTAAAGCAGCAGCATCTTTCTCTGGGCTTGCTGAAGACCTGCAAGAAAGAAGTGGGGCTGCACCAGCACAAGGCCCAAAGGGCTTCTTCCAAATCACGTGCTTGGTGAAGTAGATGCCTGTCTACCAAAGTATATAATATATACTTTGTATTATAGTATTATAATACTATAATACTCCAAACAGGTCATTAAAGATTTATTAAGGTCATTGATCAGAAATTCAATATAAAAAATAAAACCTGATACATCATAAAGCATTCAATGATTTTCAGATGTAAGCAAGGTTACTGCAGCAGATGGTCATTGGGCCCCATGATGGTGACTTTCTGAGTTTATCCATGTCACCATATAGCAAAATTTGCCATGGAATAAGTCACTTTTGGATTTCTGTCAGTTTGTAGAAATTACTCAGTGCAACCAGCAAGCTTTTAAAATTAATTATGTCAGGGTTCACACCCTGCCCCACACTATAGGTAGCTGGATAAGTCAAATCTGTCTAGGCCACACATAATGGTAAGCCATAAGCTGTGACTTACAATCCACGATAGCCGAGTTTCATCTACCACACTAAGCCAGAGCAAAATCTATCAGTGAGTGCGAACGCAGCTTTGGCTGTTCTGATGCAAGAGAGCTGTGTGTGGCCTCAGATCACCACTTTCACTGAACGCTCAACAAGCCAAGGATTCCCCCTTAGAGGTGGAAGGCGCAAGGAGGGGCCCGCCAGTGACTGTGGTCCAAAGTATTTCAGAGTCTCATCCAAAGATATTTGAGCAGTACCAGGCAATGGGTCTCCTGGGCACATAGAGAAAGCTGAGTGGCCAGGCGACCAACCTTCCTTGGCGATTGATTTGAGACAATGATCACTTTCAATATGCTTGGGCAGTTCAGACTTTAATATACATATAGGTAAATGCCAACAAACCAGAGAGCAATTGTGCAGTTAGCAAGGATTCCTACAATGTGTTAAAATACACAGTGGAGCTTCACAGGCCAATAATACAGAAACATGAACATGTGTGCACCCACACACAGAGCCTGGAAAGACTTAAGCTGGAATCTAACATGCAGAAAGTAGTAGCATGAGAACACAAAGAACAAGTACAATAAAACCAGGTGACCGATGGTTTTACCTATGGATGGGGGGAAAAAAGCAAAGCAAAACATTGGGAAGAGCTCAGAGTGGGCGAGACAAGGAGCTGCAGCTTCTCCAGAGACTGCTTGCATCCAACATTAGCAGCTTCTGCCCTACCAGGCAGCTTCATTCAGGAGCTTCTCTCCTCAACTTCCCCACCCCCATGACCCACACGGTCCTTTCCTCTTGCCCAGCTTCTCCAAAATGACCATCAATAGGAAGGCACAGCTGCTGCCCTTTGGAGAGGGGTGTTATCTGGCCCTGCCAGCCTCAGGTCATCCCTGAGCTCCTTCCCTCCAAACAGTCGGGAGGAGGAAAGGGTCAGATCTGGATTAACAGCCCGCAAAGCAGAGGTCAGGAACTAGGCTGGAGCCACTTGGCCTAAAGGAGCCACTTCCATGACCGGTGCCCAAAGAGACAGTTTGACAGCATCTGACAAAGCTCTTAGGTGGCCCCAGACAAAATGAAAGGCGGTCAGAAGGGAGCTCAGGACCACTTCAAGGTAGGATTGTGATACAGCGGGAAGGACCAGAGAAAACAACAGCAGCAACGTTCTATGCAACCCCCCCCCACCCCACAGAGCACCGAGTGCTTCACTCTCCTGCTCTACAGAGCAAAGTGGATTTAGAGTTAAACCATCATGGAGCACATCTGCGGGGAGCCAGATCAAGGTTAGCCAGCAGGCCTACTCCAACCAGCAAGCTTCCGGCATGGGCCTGGTCCATCTGGGATGGAGGAAGTCACCAAAGAGGAAGGCAGCCTGACTGGGAAGCTTTCGGCAGGCCTGCTGGTCAGGTCTGGAGCCAGCTGCCTGCAGGGCTCCCATAGGCCATGCCAGTCCTGAGCCCACCCTCAGAGGAGGAGCACCTCAGATCTGGGTGAGGGGCAGGAATTTCTGGTAGTAGCTCTTGGTGACATCAATCATCAGCTCCTGAGTGCACTCCGGGAGCTCACCTGAGAAGAGCCCTGGAGAGGAAGAGGAACGTGAGCAGCTCGCATACCCACCTGCCCCCAGCATTCATGCCCCTTCCAGCTTACCTGGGCAGCCAGAGAAGACAGTGAAAGGTGGGACCACTGTTTCTGGGGGCAACACTGTGTTGTCAAGGATTCTGCAACAGTCTTTCAGGACACACCTGCGACCCTAAAAGGATACCCAGGAATGAACCTGTAATCTGCTGGAGCCCCTTGGCTTCAACCAGGCAGAGCTCTGCTCTGCAGCATCAGGCCCAGGGGATGGAGCCAGCCCTTGATGGTCTCTGCAGTGCCAGCTACAGGCCAGGAATCTGACCCACCTGAAGAGGGAGTGCAGCCGAGATTGCCTGAAGACCAGGAGGCATCAGCGCCATCATGCTCTGGGGGTTGCTGCCAAAACCCCAGGATGCTGAAAGCACTGAGGGCCAGCTCACCACAAATGGAGGGAAGCAAGGCAGAAGTGAGCTTGGTGGAAGCTCTAGGCCACCCAGCAGAGGATCTGAAAAGTCTCCAAATGGCCTGTAGATTTCAGGCTCTACAAAATGATCCCTGATTTTGCTGTGCTTTTAAACACCAGAGGTGAAGCCAGGATACCCAGTCACCTGGGACACACAGGATCTTTTGTTGGGCCACAAAGCAGATAAACAGCCCTTCCAGTCGCCTCCTACACAGGGGAACCAGCTTGCTTAGCTAAGGACGTCAAATAGGGCACAAAGTGAGCCACATCCAACTCCCTGAGGAGCGAGAAGTCTCACTATTTTGGCCAATGAAATGTCTAACAATGTGTATTCAGGTGGGGAAGATCAAGGAACTTCATGGTGCTCAGAATTAATTCTCACTAAAGTGTGTTGTTTGGTTTGGCCATGG